CTCTGTGTAGCCTTGGCTGTCCTGGAACTCACTATATAGACCAGGCAGTTCTGGGATTCAAAGAGTTCCACCTGCCTCCACCTCCCTGGTGTTAGGATTCAAAATATGAGTCGCCATGGCCAGCCCAAGGGTTAAGCAGTTTTGATACCACAGTCACAAATTTTAGAAAGTCCTGGCTGTGCTTGCTGCTACCTGAGACTGGCACAAAGGGGAAGTTACACGGGTGCTCTGCCATGGAGGGGAGCAAAAGGCTGGCTCAGCATGAAAGAGAGAGGGCCAGGGGAGCTGAGGGCCAGCCAGCTCTGCTTGGGCAGCTCCTTCCAGAACCTCCTTTTGCTTCTGGTCCATCTCTCACTGCCTCGTTGTGAACCTTTCTCCACTTCCTATGCCTCCATTAGGCTGGGTGTGCACTCCTGAGCCACAGAACTCATCTCTCATGTCTGAATCTGGAAATGACCCCTCTGCCTTTCCAGCCTTTGGTCCTCTGGATGTCCTGAAGGGAACTGCACTTCCAGGGTTGAATGTTGGGGTCTAAGTGCCTACTCTTTATAATCAGTGGTTCCTGCCTGTCTAGTCTACCATGGCTTAAAAGTTCAAAGTTCACGAAGTTAAAAGTTCACTCTGGATACTGTACCAGCTCCATGCCAAGTGTTCCACAGCCAGACATAAACACTAACAGTTCTGCTACTAGAATGTTCTGCTGAACTGTGTTTAACTAGCTGATAATTAGGATTTAAATCCTTTGTAACTTGACTTTGGGAGGGGCCATCAAGGTTGAATGAGGTCGCTGTACTGGACAGACAACTGACTTAACACAGCCACAGAAGGAAGAATGTTGATATTACCGACATTTTGTGAAAATATGTAAATTGATGCCTCTCTACATCTTTATAAAGACCTATGTGTATAATATACATATGGAGTGCCTAGAGAGTTCCATTCCCAGAACCAATGGTGGGTGGATATTAACTCCAGCTCCAGAGGGACCCTATGCCTGTGGTTTCTATGGGCACTATACTCATGTGCACATACTCAATACACATAATTAAAAATAGTAAAAATAAATAAATCTTAAAGCAGAAGCCAGACATAGTGGTGCATGCTATAATCCTAGTACTGGTGACAGTTGGCAGAGGCAGGAGGGGCACCACAATTCAACACCAACCTGTTTCACGTGGTACATTTCAGGCCAGCCAGGAATAAATAGCATGACTGTCTTAAACAAAAAACAAAAGCAACCAAACAAAAAGGCTCCAAATATACAACTAGAAACAAATAGGCCAGCCTACATAGGGAGATCCTATGTCAAAAACAAACAAAAAACAATTAGAAAAACCAACACATGGGAAATACACACGGCAAAGTCTGCACCCACCTACTTTCCTCCCACATGAATAGGCTTTGTGCTCTGACTCGCTGCCTCTTATTTCCTTCCCAGGGAAACTCTCTCTTCAGGCTTCTCCTTTTATGAGCCACTACTATAACTGCTTACTTCCTGCCCTTGGTATACAAATGGCACCACACTGGAGTTGGCCTATGGTGCTTTTGCTACTTGAGAATATAGAGATGCAGGAAATGGTTCTTAATGCTTGGAGAAGCATCGGAAGGAAGCCCTATTGGTGAGCAGACCTCTTGGCAGGTTAGATTCCACACCATTCCCTCCATGCCTCACCTTCACGAGTATGTAACTGTGTAAGATCATGAGGTTGGTAGCCATCTCAGAGGGGATTTTGATCTTCTGTGATTTCAGTTCTGCATACATACTGAAGAGAACGTCATGTGCATTCCTGTAGTTTCCTTGGGAAAAGAGCCAAAGGCTATTACTACAGAAGTCTCAGACCCTCACCTCACAAGTAAGTTTGTTCATCAATGTACTAACAGCATTTCAACTATATGGCAGTATAACAGCTTTTTCAATTTTTGTTGATGGTAAAAACAGCTAGTGAGTCACTCTGGGGAAAGAATGGTGGTGCCTTAGAGGTCACCCAAAGTACAATGAGTCCAGAGTCCTTCAAGTTCAGCCTCCTCCTCAGCCCCATGGTTAGAGCTCCCACACTTCTGCAGCCCGAGCTGATCAGCCTTCCCCTGGAGCTTCGTGAGGATGTCAGAGTTTCTAAACCTCAAGCCTCACCCAAAGCCCAACACTCCCAGGTCATACCCCAGGCCACCAAAGGGAATGGGGGTCACAGCTCAGTGGCAGGGTATCTAGTAGGTGTGAGATGCCATCCCCAGCACCACAAAACCAGACCCCGCCCCCAAAGGTAGTGAGATCAAATGAAAATTCCCAAGCAGAGGCTCAAAGCCACCTGCCCATCCCTGTTGGAGCTAGCCTGCCACCTTCCCACCCCTTCGTGGCCTTACCCAGAGCACCTGTCCTCCATCTCTTGCTCTCTGGTCTCTCCTTCACCCCAATCTCTTATTGCCATCCTCCATTCTTCCCACACCTTGCCATTCTTTAGGAGGTCCTGGTTCTTTCTGATCACATTTCTCTCTAGTCTGGCACTCGTCATCCTGAATGAGAACTCTGAACTCATTTCTTTCTCTTCTAATCATGATCCCAAGGCAGAACTGTGGCCCAGGAGCTCTCTGGGGCTGGAGCTCCCAGAATGTGGCCACAAAGAGAAGAAACTGTCCAGTAAGAGAAGCCTCATCCCCTGGGACAGGGAATGATTTTTCCTTCTCTGAATCCTAGAAAAGGCCATCTGCTTGGTCCTTTGGGGTCAGAGCAAGCCTAGGCTAGAAGCTAGCTACTCTTTTCTGAGCTTTTACTCCATTACCTGTTTGGGTAGGAAAGAATGATCAGGGACCTGGAGCTAGAGAAGTAGCTTGGTGGCAAAGCACTGTCCCTGTGTGGGCAGGGTGCTGGCTTGATCCCCAGGAACCAGTCAGTGTTAGGGACGCACCTGCAGACTGCTCTTCTCGGGCAATGATGATGGCGGTCCGGGCGGCCTCACGGTACTGTTTCAGCGCCATGTACAAGCGGAACAGGTACTTGGCATCCTGGTGCACAAAACATCAATTTCTTCATTAACCAAGGGGGGAGGAAACACTTAGAACTGTGCCTTTCAGCTCCCAGTAACAGAAGTGATGTTTTAAAAGCTAGTTTGCTCAGCTTAATATTCACAGGATCCTTTTCTAGGTGGTTAGGAAACTGAGCTAAACCTTCAGACCTATCCTATCCTCATGTGGTGGATGGTAAAGTGAACACAAAGGGGAAGAGAGGGACAAAGTGAGGCTCTGGAGCAGTGTGACCCGGGTGCATTTTGTTCCTCACCCCGCTCTACACAGCCTCTCCTGGGCTGGGGAATGGACATCTTAACACCAATGCCAGTCTTCATTGTTTACAATCCTCTTAACCATTTCCTCCCGATTCCAAATGGAGGCCCATTTCACTCTGTACTTGGGGCTGGTTTCCCGTTTACTAAAATTAGTGGACAGAATGGGAGGGCTGTGAGACCGCAAACGAGGGGCTGTGTCTTTTGGCAACTCACATGAGACCCTCTGGGTCTTAGTGGCTTTATCTATATGATTAGGGCGATGGGTGCAGGGATTTGGTCTCCTCCACACTGTGAGGGAACTGCTGTCTGTCCACACCAGTGGCTAGAGTCTGTCACAGCAGATGTCTCTGAACATGGAGGCAAAGGGGAACAGAGGGCTCTGGGCACTTTCTAAGGCATCACATCTGTCCTCACCAGGACGGAGAAGACAGGGACATGGACATGGATTCTGACATGTTCTTAGCCCTGACCTTACAGTGATTCACACTTATATTTAATGTGACTTTATATTAATTTTACAATTTAAAAATATGAATAAAACACGCAATTTTAGGGCTCATTGCTAAGTCAACGGTTTCAATGATTACTTTGTGACAGTTTAGAAAAAACTGGGTGGGGAGGTCGGTTATGTCAAAGGCTATTGCACAGGGTGTGGCCAGTTCATGGCATCCTCTAGCATGTGAGGATGGTTACTTTCTACACTTCTACAGGTCTGCAAAGTCAACAGTAAAAAGAGGACCAGACAAGGCAAGGCTGAGGCACGAACACCCAGCACTGCAAAGCCTACTGTACCTTTGGCATGCCATCGCTCTCCCCCATCAGGTGGTCTATCAGCTGATTGGTCAGCAGTTCGTCTTTAGCCTGGCCCACCTGGTTCACAAGAGAGAAACCACATTAAATCCTGCATCTTAAACTTAGCAGGGATGGGGAGTGAGGAAACACCCTCCTGCTAAGGAAATGGAATAAAAAACATCCAAGAAGATTCATGTAAATTACTTGAAATACAATTTAGTCCAGAATCCTTTTTCATTGGTTTGTAGTCTTCCTCAATAAAATTCCATCCTTAGAAGCTGTGGTTTTTCTTAGCTGCTCGTACCAAAGTATCATCTTTTTCTATACACAGAGAATATACTTATTGGATGTTTCAATAAAAACACTAAGGGGCTGGAGAGATGGCTCAGCAGTTGAGAGCATTTGCTGTTCTTCTAGAGGACCAGAGTATAATTCCCAGAACCCACATCAGGGAGCTCATAACTGTTTACAATTGTAGCTTCAGGGGATCCAACACCTTCTGGCTTCTATGGGTTCCTTCTTCCACATATACATAAATAAACCTTACACACACCCTGCCTCCCAGGAGATGGACAGGTGGCTCAGAGGTTAAGAATACTGGCTGCCAGGTTCAATTCCCAGCACCTACATGACAGCCACAACCACCTGGAACTCCAGTCCCAGGGGATCAAATGATCCCTTCCGGCGTCCACAGGCATTGCACAAATGCACTGCATAGACATACGTGCAGGCAAAACACCCATGCACATAAAATAAAAATAATAAATCTTAAAAAAAAACCCACTATCACCAGTACCCCACCAAAACCTCTCCAAAGATTAGTGACTAGCACACTTTTCGAATAGATCCATATCTTGAGCATATATGATGGGTCTCATGCAGGCTGAGAATCCTAATCTGAGAATATCAACTGAAACTTTGGTGTGTGTGTGTGTGTGTATGTGTACTGTATATGCATGCCTGTGGGTAGAGGCCAATGGAAGATGTTGGATTTCCTCTTCTATTTTCTCACCTTATGTTTTTGAGGCGGTCTCACTGTGCCCAAAGCTGCCATTTCAACCAGACTGGCTGTCCAGCAAGCTCCCGGGATTCACTTGTCTTACCCTCACCTTCCCCAGTGCTCAGGTTACAAGCAGATGTGACCATGCTTGGCTTTTATGTGGGTGCTGGGGATTTAAACTCAGGTCCTTGCCTTCACAGCAAGCGCTCTTACCCACTGAGCCACCTCCCTGGACCCTGAAAATGCAAACTTTTAAAGTGACAACATGATGCTCAAAGGGGTTCCAATTTGGGAGCATTTCAACTTCAGAATGAGGGAACTTTCTGGCAAAGCTCTAATACTTAGTGTGAGAGCTATACAGGAGCAGGTTTATGGGAAATGGAGCAGCATTTACTATGAGCAAGTTCTACTCAACGTGGGACCACAAGGTCTTCTCTTTATAACTAAGATAATCTATCCTGATATGAAAGGATAGATCTTGTTTGCTTGGAAATAATTCAGGGAAGAGGATGGGGATGTGAACAAAGATTGTGTGTTGACGGCTGCCAAAGTTAGATGATGGCTACAGGGAGTTTGTTGGATAGTTTGTCGAAGTCTTGCATATATTTGCAAGTTTCTGTTTGAAACAGGGTTTCTCTGTGTAGTCCTGGCTGTCCTGGAACTCACTT